TCCATTTAAATGTATGGATATCTACTTGCTGAAGTGAACGCCATCTGTAGCACGATGCTACATTTTAGGATTACGTATGCAGATGGCGTTTACTGCGCCATTTGTAGTATTTTCTGAAACGCACTGTTAAGACAGCAGGTAAAAGTTGGTCTGTGTTCTGTCGGAGCTGCCTGCGACGCGCTGATGAGACCCAAAAAGATCGAAATCGCGATCCGCGTCTGGTCGTTTCGACAGAATACAGACCATTTCGAATTATTGAAGCAAATAGTATTTACTAATCTGTTCTCATAGAGTGGTTCTGATCTCGACGACGGTCGCCGCTATATTTAAGTATTACATTAATGCATCGAGGTATAACTTTTACATCGTCTTTTCTAAAAGACAGGTACCTAAAAATATATCGATCGACCGGATAGGCGTTCAAGCGTTAAACACGATACGAATTTCTACCGTTCGCCGAAGAAAAGAATATCGATTGTAGAAACAATTCACTTAAGTGTGGTGTCAGCAACTGCACTTGCATAAAATACAACTGATAAAAAACAATATCCGTTTGTAAAACCGACAGTAATCATGTGATCTTGACACTTTTATTAAATAAGTAATTGAACGAGGCACATCTGCAAAATTCGATTTACTGAAGTTATTCAAAAGTGCCAATGAAAAAAATTGGCGCGAAATTGCTGCTTTTCAAAGAATTTTGTATATTTTTTATCACAAAAAAATCTTGTTTTCATCAAGAGAATAGTAAATCGGCAATATCACTTTTGTTTTTCCACCATTCAGGTGTAATTTCACAAAGACTAAAATCAGCGACACACGAGTCCGTGCCGACGTATTTACCGCATTTATTCGACACTATCCGGTTAAAACCACCGGATCAGCTTATTATCGTAAATTCTTATCAACATAATACTGAATTTTTGCACCTAAACTGATTCATATGCTCCTTCCTTAGTCCACAAAAACTCAAAGTTGATACTTGTTTTATGATTATCAGATTTATGTTTCCTGTTCGCACCTCAATAGTCTTCCCTTGAAATACTCTATCTTTACCTTGTATGCTTCATACAATAGATGTACAATACATACACTTACACACAAACGTACAGGAAGTGCAGTAACAGTCATTAGTGGAAGAGGCATTGAATCAGAAGTTGAGATCGTTCTATGTACGAATGTACGTGAAACGTACATCTAGTACGTTAGGAAACAAAGAGACTATTTGCAGCTCACGAGTGATTTTCAGATATATATTAAGTTTGGACAGGAACATTCTCTTGCAACCTCTGCTCTGTCGGTAACGGGTACCATAATATACCAACCGCTGTCGTAACCGCAATCGTCGCAACCAACCGGCACACAAGGCACGTTGACGCCTCGCGCTCGCCGCAAAACGCTCGTTAAACCCAAAGAAGTTAAACCGAGGAAATTCTCTGCACTGCATAAATGCTCTTCCTAACAGCTTCCGTTCGTTTCTTCTTCACTTCGCACAAGTTTTCGAGAAACGCTAATAACATCTGGAATTATTAAATAGTGACGTCAATTTATTCCGTGCAATTGCTTCAAAACACTTCTTAATTGGTCTGAAACCATTTATGATTTATCTCCAAAAATACGAACATGAGAGTCCACTCAAGTCTGAGAATTACCGAAAGCATCTGCTAATTATTTATATGATTTAGCTAAACTGCTCTTTGACTTTCTTAGATTATTAATCCTAAACGATTTATTTTTGGCTTTGCTTAAATACCACTGAACTTCTTGATCAAGCTTAAGTACTATTTAATAAATTGCCATATAATATACTTAAATACACTTAAAAATATAGGGACGAGTTCCTGAGATAGAAGAGTGGTACTTAGTTTATATGTAATAGGCAGTCATATAGAGCTGGAGGGATATACAGGGTCAAAAGATTAGTATACTTAGATTGCAGATGATATAGCAGTAATAACATCTAGCAAGGAGGAGTTAGAGATAGGACGATAAGGAGTTTAAATAAAATGGAAGCGGTATTGACAAAACAGTACTGTATGAAAATAAATAAAAGTAAAACAAAAATACTGGTATGCAAGGGAAGTTAAAGTAGGAAAAGAGCGAATATAAAGATAGGAGACGATAAATTAGAAGAAGTAGCCGATTTTAGGTATCTAGGAAGTCAGATAAGTCAAGACGGAAGGAGTAGTAGGAATATAAAGCAAAGGATAGCGCAGGGTCGAGTCGCCTTTAATAACAAGAAGTCACTTCTATGCTCGCGAACGGTAAATTTAGAGATTCGAAGGTTGTTAAAGGTGTATGTTTGGAGCACGTTGCTGTACGGATGCGAAACATGGACAATGGGCGCGGCGGAAAAAAAAAGGTTAGAAGCGTTCGAAATGTGGTATAACAGGCGAATGATGAAGATTCCGTGGATAGAGAAGGTTAGAAATGAAGAGGTATTAGAAAGAGTCAGAGAATAGAGGACTCTGTGGAAGTCAATAAAAAATACGCGAAATAGGTTAGTAGGACACCTTCTTAGGCAGACATATTAGAGGCAGAAACGGAAGTTAGGAGGGGTAGAGGTAGACCTAGAATATATTACCTACTGTTTGCAAATAGTTAAAGATATGCGTTCTTTTAGTTTTAGGGAAATGCGAAGATTAGGTCAGGATAGGAAAGAGTGAAGGTGCGTGTCCAACCAGTCCTAGGACTGACGATCTTATGATGATGAATTTGTATGTTAGCCGGAGTTAGTTTTAAAAATGCGTAAATTTATTGTTTTTTGGAATTTGCGAAGGAACCACTGTGCCAATTGAGTTTAACCTGAGCTTATTTTGCTCTATCGTGATTATTATTTAATTCTACACCTTTCATTATAAGAATTCAACTTTCCTTTGAAAACGCAATAAAAAACCGTTATTAACGAGCTTTCGAAGATTGTTTGCAAAATTTACCAAATATTCTAATTTTAGATCACCTTGTTCTAGACATAGTGTGATGTGGATCTTTTTTTCGTATAGGAATTTTTTCAGATTTCAATGGAGCAATGGGGTCTTAAGGGTCATCTTGACTTTTGGGCCCCAGCGCTCTGCTCTCCTCCGCCTTTCGATTTCTACGCCACTGGGTGAACGGTAACAACAAGTGTTAAAAACAAAACAGAATCAAAAAAAGGTAGGTAATACTGATAACTTAACCTCGCCCAAACCCGCTTCTTTCAAGTTTACATTGACCTCGAGTACTTTAAGTTGTAAGTCGACTTGCACTGTTGCCTTTGTTAGAGCGACAGGCTTTTGTTTGTTGGCTATTAGGAATGATACAAGTCGGAAAGAAAGAAAATGCTTTCCTACGTTTGCCATTTCAGCCTGGAATTTTGCATTAATTCTCGCAACGAATGGAATGCGTTCTTCTTTGGTCATTGATCCTTATTTCGTGCGTAGCTTCATCAATTAGACTAGTTATACGGTTGATGTACACATTTTTTTAACTTTATTCATATTCACGCAAAGAAGGATCTTTTTCTTAATATTGCTAAAGAAATGTTTATTTAAAAGAGAAAGCATTATAATATAAAACCAGCGCAGAAGACAGTAATACTTACCATATATTCATAAAATCTTTTTTGTATTAAGTGTAAACTTATAAGTAGCCTATCTACAGTTAATGCTAGATAGATAGAGATCTGCAAAATGGTTTTTTAAAAGTATTTAAATACAATATTCAAGTATTTTTTTGATTTGTTATTTCAAATGTATAATACTAAATATATTTCCTTCTTATATTTTAAATGCTAAATGCAAAATAAATACTTTTTTTGTAGTACCTATTTAATTTTCCACATTCACTTAAGTATAAAATGTTTTTTAAGAAAACCTTGCAGGCATTTGCTCATTTTTTAAATATTAGAGTTTTTCTAGACTAATACCGGTGTTTGCGTTATATTATCAGCTGCGAAAATTGAGTATGAAGTGATTGAGATATAGTTTTTCTATGTTTATGTTATAGTTTCTTCAGTTCAGCAACAAGCAATTCTTCTATATGCTTGCTTATTTCCCTTTGTCACCCGTTTTAATTGGAGAAAAAACACTGATGCGAAAATAGTGTGTTTACCGTGAAAGATTAGAGTCAAAATAGGGTTGCATATAATTTTATTGATGTAAAATCAACATCAATCTTTTTTTTATCAAAATATTTACAACTCCATTTTGTTTCTGATATTTTACACATTATAATAAGAGAAAGAAATGGAATACATAGTTTCTTTAGCTTTGGGTTAAACTAATAAGTGAAGTTTTTCGAATCGTTTTCTAAGAATTTTGGATTATAGACATTTATTAGCACACCACAATATCTTGTAATTTTCAGTTTTACACAGCTGTCGTATATCAATTCGATATTGTTTTACGGACTGTTTTGTTGTAATGCGTAGAATTTCGTAGTTCCTTGCTAAAGGTACGATAAGTGGTGATTCGGCAGGTGTTGATATCAATTTGGAACTTCAAAATTCCATGGACCATGACATTGAACCCGGAAAACAATATCAATCCAATATTTTAGATTATCCGTTTCCAAGGAATTTAGAATTTTTTGGGTTCTCTTCACTTAAAGAATTAGAAGGCATTCATGGAATGCCTCCTTGTCCCCACCTTAAGCTTCTAATAGTTTCAATGGCAAATGTGAGCAACATTCATTAATCATTATTTATAATGTTTGATCGGTGATATTAGCAAAAATTTTAACAGTAAAAATGCATTTCGCATTTTACAAATAGGAAATAAGTTTAGAAAAGTATTTGAAATAAAATACAAAATGCTTTGCTCAAAAAAGTATTTAAATGCAAGATACAAATAGGGCTTTTTATTTTGTATTTGCATTTTAAGTGCAAGTATTTCAAATAAATCACATCTCTGACTATCATTTATAATACTATTGACCCATTAGATCCTTTAACAGTGAAAAATTTGTCTACAATCATATTTAAAACGACTCTTTATCGTTTCATTTCGTAAATCTCATCAATTGTTTATGAATCCGAGAATCCTAGCAAGCGTCGACTGACGAAGCAATTACGATCGCGGTCAGCTTTCGTCCTTCTTCGTACGCGTCGTCTGCCGATAGTCGGAGTGCAAAAACGTGTGGAGGTTTTCATAGTTTTCTTCGTATTTTACTTGTTCTACTGGCAAAAAATAATCGGGTGGTTCGTTCTTACACGAATAACGATTGTTTATAACGTTTAAAGCTATGCCATAAAGTTTATGAGTTTGTTTAAACAGTTGTCAATGTAAATAGTCGCGAGTGAGTTATTATTGTGCAATGATGTTTGTGAACTTTTCTCGGGCGATGCGATCGAGGTGGAAGGAATTCTCAATTTAGGACCATAGAAGGTAAAATAACAGAATTATTATAGATTTTGCATTGATGTACGCAGTTACAAATGAATAATTCATTTACCAATTGTAAAAATAGCGCAGTTCTTTATGGGCAATAAATTAATTATTTCCCTGATTGTGTAATAAGTCTGTCAAGGAAGGTTTGATTGAAAATAGTATCAGCAAAAGTATGCTCTCTTTAATGCTCTTTTTGTTAGTTTATTGTTCTGCCTAGTACTGAAAGGGTCGCGTGTACAAAATACTATGAAAACGTTGGTTTTATCGTTTGATCGTGGTAGAAGGGTTTGTTTAGAAGAAATTAAACACAAAAGAAAAGAATTTCTGTTGTATCTACGTCTAATTAATGTACAGCAGGTACAAATGAATCAAATGGGTTTTGTTGAAATGAAATAAATAACATCTTTGAAGTCAAACGTTTAAAAAGCCTAAAACGTGTTTCGACACGTAAGAAGACGAAGCTTTCAGTAATAAAGAGTTGATCTAGAGGATTGTTAGCAGTAACGCAGAATAACAATACTCTACAGTATTATATTTGGCCAAAAGGGTCAGTTTTATGGATCTTCTTCCTTGTTTTATTATTCTACCTTGAAAATGAACGAACTATGTTGGAAATTTACTAAAGGATAGTCATTTAAACGTTCCATATTTTGTTATTAATTATTTATTGCAAATATTTAACTCTTGCCCCCGTTCTCCTCTACCAGGACCAAGGTATATGCCTGTAGGATTTTGTATTTCATCTTGTTTTGTCTTTTAATATGGTTGCAATTACTTCAGCAATATTCTGGCTCTTGTTGTCATTCCACAACTGAATTTTCTCTCAGTTTCCACGATGCGTTTGTACTAAATGAATGCAGTATGTTAATTAAAGGTACAAAACATGAAAAACTTCCTAATTGTATATACATATACACATTTTTCTTTGCTTATTGTCTGTTGTCATATCCTGTAAAGGGATAGACAATGTAATTTCTACAGTTGTTGGGTTGAGGATTTTTTATTTTTAGCTTTCAATACAAGATGCGCACAGCTTATAAATCGTATGAAAATAAAAGAATTGCAGGGTTGGTTCGTACATTATACTTAAAGTGGGATGCTCCCAGCTGAAAATTGCACTTCATTCACTTGAAGCAGCGGAAAATGGGATGCCGTCTCTATTAATTTACGGTAGTTTATGCCAGGCTAATAATTCCGAGTCTTTTTTAAACTAAACAAAGAATCCTTTCAAAGAAAAAAACTCGTGCAAATACCTTATGAAAGGGTCGTCCTAATACCAGAGTCGTGATTTATTCGAAATACTTACTTTAAATACTTTTTTGAGAAAAGCATTTTGTAAATACAAAATACATTTTTGCCGTTAAGAGTTTTGCTGGTATCACTGTTCAAACATCATATGAAATGATGAAAGAAAGTTGCCCACATTGACCATTGACGGTATTAGAAGCTTAAAAAGAGGACAAAGAGACATTCCATGAATATCTTCTAATTCGTTAACTGTAGAGAGCTCAACAGATTCTAAACTTCTTGGAAATGGATAATCTAAAATATTGAATCGATATTGTTTTCCGGGTTCAATGTCATGATCATAATTTTTGTCAAATTCGGCCGTTTCTTCCCAATTTCGTCACTCAAACGCTGCATTAAGTTTGCATAATATTCGCCGTTGATGGGTTTTCCTTTTTCAAGAAAGTCAATGCAAATTGTACCATGCGTATCCCAAAAAACTAAACCCATAATCTTGCCTGCAGATGGAGCTGTCTTAGCCTTCTTCGGACCCCATTCGCCCCTTTCAGTCCATTGTTTTGACTTTTCCATTGTCTCGGGTGTGTAGTGATGGATCCACGTTTCATCCATATTTAGAAACCTACGCAAAAGCTTGTTGTTTATGTTAGATTCTAAGCAATTACTGCACCCATCCTGCACAGAGGTTTCTCATATCCAAATGTTTAGTCAGTATGCTTTTTTAAATGCTTACCATTTCAGCTAATATTGTTTTGTGGATATTTTCACCATTTCTGGAATAGTCACCTCACTTGGTTGACCACTGCGACGTTCATCTTCACATCGATCAGCATGGCAAGGTTTAGACGATTTCTTAGCATATGGGAGGACTCCGGTTCGCTTCCGGATTCGTCTGCCTTGGTCTTTAGTGTTTCTCTGGTTTTCTTCGACCACTTAGGCAAATGCTGGGGCAGTAATATTCCACAGATAATCTTTCATTCTCTTATGTCTTCATTTCGTCCGTCTCATCTTTCTAACCCAAACCACCACCCACCCTATCGCACGATTCCTGAAAGGAGGCTGAAAAGGGCCTTCCGCCCTACCTTCCGACGTAGTCCGGGGGGACTGCTCGGCCACCAGTATTAGTAACTGGTGGGAATGAAATACCCAAAAGTTTTAGTTTTTTTTTTCATCTTCACAGCTCGTACGGCCTCGTTTGAATTCTGAAACTTACTGTTGAAAACGAAGGTGGTAGAATTTAGCTTGACTTTGATATTGTTTGCACTAAGTCCTTTTATATGAAAGTTTCGAATCATATATCCCAATGACCAATCTTTTTATAAATTCACTGAAGGTGTTCACTATTGATAGCTGTCAAACATTTAATAAACAACAGGTTCTTCAATATTTAAACTTAATTTTACTGAGGTTCACACTGTCTACCACAGCCATTATTATGTTTCAACTACTACCGCCATCTATGTGTCAGGCCGATTAATTCTGAGACTGCTCGCGTACATAAATATTTTACTGGCGGAAAGGGAAAGACAAAACCAAAATGTCTTAACCCGTTGTAACGGTTATACATAAAGCATCTATTGGGTTTGTTTAAATTCGGATTTAAAGGGAGGTTGGCTGATGTTTTACATAATCCCATTTTATCGAGGCATGCGACAAAAAGGGGCCCTTTCGTTTAAAACACGATCCGATACATACCTACGCTTTCATACATATATTCGAGAAAAAAAGTGGTTTTTGAACAGTTTCGTCGGTTAAGTTGTTTCATTTTGTCGTAAATTCCCCCAGAAGATTGCCTTGTTTTGCTTGCGTTGTCTCGTTATTTTTTTTTACACTTTAAACATGCCTCAGGTGACAACTAAATATTTCAATAAAGCGCCAAGAACCACAAAGAGAATGATTTATGGGGTTAACTCTGAGTGTGTCTTTTCTGTTTTGAGACAGAAAATTGTTTGGGTTAAACTCAGCATTCAAAAGTTTAATGAAGTGTTCAATACATATATAATGCGAGGCTACTAAAAGGACAAAGGAATAGTTTAATTATTTGTTGTAATCTTCCAGAAGCTTCTGATTTCAAGTGCTACTATTTTGCTGTTCTCTCTTTTATTCCCTTAACATTCCCATCATTTTCAGTTGTACGTAATAGCTTTCTAAAGAGTAAAAGGTATTTCTCCATTCCTATTTGTACCATCAGTTTTAGATTTATTTCAGTCAGAATTATTTAACTCCTTCTTATTTGCTTGTGTTTTAGTGAATTCATTGTAAAAACTTGCAGTTACTGATTCCTTTGCAGCAATTTTTTTGTCGATATTTTCTCTCTCCCGGTGCACTTCGTCTCTCCTTAAAATGTCCGGCGACTATAGTAGGTTCAGTTTATTCTCGTAGATTTTAAATAAAATACTCAGTGGTTGATCCTTTGGTCGTTTTCTCAGTCGGCAAATCCTTAGCCGTTTCTTGGCGGGTGGAGATTAGGAGACGCAGGGGCGTTTTGGTGTTATTGCAAGGGTGGAAGTTCCGCCCATACGTTGACATTTAGTTCTCGTTCTCTTGCATTTTGCAGTAAAGATGACACCAATATCGACAAAGTATAAAGGAGCCACAGCCGAAAAATCAGGCGATCGGTTTGGCCTAGAGGTTTAGACTATTGCGTAGCATTCGGGAGGACGCTGGTTCGATTCCGGGTCCATCTGCTTTAGTCGAAGGTTTTCTGTGGTTTCCTTGGATCACTTAGGCAAATGCTGGAGCAGTAATATTGCCCAGATTATCTTTCATTCTCTTCTGTCTTCATTTCCTCTGTTTCATCTTTCTCACCCGATCCACCACCCACCCATTCCCACGATTCCTGAAAGGAGGCTGAAGAGGGTCTTTCAGCCCTAGCTAGCGGTGTAGTCCGGAAGGACTGCCCGCCCATCAGCATTAGTGGCTGGTGGGAATTAAACACCCAAAAGTATTTTGTTTTAAATCAGGTATATCGATGGTTCTTTAAAATGAATGAATTTGCTTTCGTAAGATAAATGGTATAGTTATAGAAATACAGATGAATACTACAAACATTACGTACGTGTATTATAGGTCACATGAACCTTAACTTTTAACTTTTCGATAAGTCACTTTGACCACTTCACTCCAAGCGACAGAAAAAATTACGTTTTCAATTTTCTAATTCATAAAAGTACCTATATGGATTATGATCTTTCTTCTAGGCTCCATCTTCTACACAGCGCTTGCAAGCTGTGCTTTTTGCATAAAAATTATTGAAATTGGTCGTTACGTTTTTGGATGACTTACCTACGACTTGAACGGTTTTTGACATGGTTATTATTCACTCGATTCTTTTCCTGAATCTTTGAAATGGAAGTAACTGTTTGTGGTTTTAGATTTGAAATAAATTTCAGGGTTCACGAGTCGCTACTGATTGAGGATTCGGGAGTGACCTCTCGTATGTACGTACGTTGCACAACGTATGGACGTGGATCGTAAAATAGCAGTAAAGCCACGACTCTAAAACTGCGGGAATCTGATCCCGAGAAATGGCGAGAGCCCCATATTGTATCCTTCGTTACTTTCTTGCTCCATCGTCGACTTTCTTTCCAACTCCTCCCCAGTTTCTAACTTTCTCGGTTCTCATTTAACCCGTTTACCTAACGTTTATCTGTTTAATTCACCCCCTGCCTCGAAATATAGTGCGAAATTTTGCTTCCCATTTGATAATAACAATAAAGGTTTCGCGAAAACGGTTCCCAACCGCGATGGGA